AAAAAAGAAAACAACCAAAACCACTAAAGAAATAAGAAAAAGAAGACGAAGCAACCGGCCCCCGCCGAGGCGCAGGACCTGTTGCCTCGCCGTCCATTTCAGCGGGGGTTTCTCCTGCAATTGGTTTTCCTCCTTCAATTTCCTTTCCTTCCCTGCGGCCGGCGGCGGGGGGCACGCGGGGGGCCCGGGCGCGGGCAGGCGGGCGGCGAGGGGGCTCTCTCTGCCTATCCATTAAAACGATTGTTCCATGTGGCCGCTCCGTCTGGTTGTGGTGCTCATTGCCGCGGGGGCCAGGGCCGCCCCGCGTTCTCCCCTTGCGCCACCAGGAATGGGGAGGGATGTGGGGAGGGGTGCTGGGAGGAGGGGTGGCAGATGGGAGCACCAAATCGTCAAAATGGGCCAGGAGAGCATTGGAAAGATGGCCCTGGATGTCACCGGTGAGCCCAGCAGGAATGCTGTCACAGGTAAGGCTTTGGTGTGTAGTGTGAGGTACAGCTGTGCCTTATTTCCCTGCTCAGGACCCCACTCAGTGCCCCGAAGCTCACTGTGTGGCTCTCCAGCACAGCTGCACAGCGTTGCAGGGGATGCTTATGGAGCAGCTGAAGCCAATCCTGTGAGGGAAGGAGGGACAGAGTGATGTGAGGTGAGTGCAGGGAACAGGGTCCCCCATGCAATGCTGCATACAGGTGAAGCACAGCAAGATTGTTTGCGTGTAGGTGCATTTTGCTGTCCCTGGAGCCTTGTCTTGGTCAGTGTCTTGATTTTGGTGATGCTGGAAGGTTGTTCAGTGAGTTTGGTCTTCAGCCTCAACTGTAGCCTCCAGGGTGCTGGTTTCTTCAGGTCACCTGAGACTTTTACAGGATCAGAAGTTGGTTGCTATTGGTGGTGTGACAGTTTTGTGTGAGTGTTTTTTATTTCTTGACTCTGTGATGTAACCCAAGAGATGAGCATGGAGAAGAGGCATGGGAAGGTGTTGCTTTGAGCTGTGACATGCAGTGTCCAAGTGATACCAAGGTGGGGTAAGGGCAGAACCATGCTCAGGCTTTGTGCACATCCTAAGTAAGAGACAGGGTGTGGGGACAGGACAGCTGGGCATAGGAACAGGGCCAGGATGGCAGAGGAGATGGTGTTGGTCTTTATGCAGGTGTTGCAACTCCCAGTTTGGAGCAGCCAACCACAGTAGAGCAAACCTGGTAGGAGGGGCAATGCCTGGATGCTTGGGGGTAATGGGGAGGGATCCAGAGACAGGTATGGAGGTAACAGGGCTCTCTCCCTCACCTCCTCTCTGAAATTATAACTTTTTTGGTGTTCTAGGTGAGAGATCAAGGAGTGTTCAGTGCCAAAGTAGCAGACAAAGAGGAAGTTAAAGAGAGAGAGGCAGCTCAATGGATGCATTTATGTAATAATTTATTGACATAGGTAAGGGTGTCTTTTGATGCTGGGGAGGGATGGATGTCATGGTCTGAAATATGCCCTCCCTCCCCCTGGATGTAGCAGATGAGGTCTTTGTCCTTAGGCACAGGTTGGGTGTTGCTGAGGGCCATGGAGAAACGTCCCTCTCAAGCCAGGAAAGGGAGATGGAGAGTATCCCATGGCCAGAGAGGAGCTGCATCACCTCCCCGTGCTCTGGGATGGGGACAGTGCAGAGGAGGCATCAGGATGTGCCATGAGCAGAAGTGTGTGGGCATCTGTAGTTACTCACTCCAGTGGAGGCAGGTCCAGCACTGGGTATCCAGCAGAACTGGCATGGGAAGATGGAAGCATTAGGGAGGCTTGGACTCTGGTGGGATTCCCCAGGGGCCACATGCAAGGGGTGAGTGATGCTTTGTGGCACCTGTATTACATCAAATCAGCCCTGGCTCCCTGATGGGTTGGGGTTTTTGGAAGAGGCTCAAAGCAGAGTCTCCCATGGAGGTCACCAGTGCTTGATTGAGGTGACATTGAGGAAAGTGGGGAGGTGACACATCCCTCCCAGATCCCTTCCCTCAGGAGGTTGTTGGGTTTTGGGAAGCACTTACCTTTCTGCTGGGGTCACTCGAGGGGGACAGCAGAGGTGTCCCTGATGTGCAAGGTCACAGCAGCTCATAGCAGTGCTGGGATGGAGCTGTTTGCTTGTTGTGGGGTTCAGGGAAAAACACTTGGGACTGAGCTTTCATTCCCACGTTGGGGAAGACGAAGGGAGGTCTCAAAGTGAGGAAGACCCTGATGGGTCTGTCACAGTCCCACTGTCCTGGCAGCAAGTCTCACATTAGAGGAGCTTGTTGAATGTTTCTTCCTGGTTGATGGTGTGGAAAGGTGAGGCATCCCCTGGAAGTGGAGGTCACAGTCTGCTGTGAGATTACAGCCATGTCAGGGAGACACTGAGGGTCATGACTCTTCTGCTCCTGGTCCTCAAGGTTTTTGTCATTTGATGAAGACATTTGGTCTGTGTCACACACTGCCAGATCACGATAGGACCAAACCTTGGGAGTGCATTGTCTGCAGAGGCATCCTGGGGGCACGTTTAGTTGTCAGAGTGAGCATTGTTGCAAGATGATGGAGGAGATGCTGGGAATGGCTCAGTCGTGGAAAAGAGCGACCTGATCATGCTGCTTCCACTGAACACAGGTGAGTGATGAGAGCAAAGACAGTCCTTACCCTGCAGGGACTCCATCAACAGGTGCATGTTCATCGGTGGACAGAGGTGGGCAGGACCTGGGACTCACTGGTGGATTGCCAGGGGAGATGCATGGATGGGGTGAAGGATGGCCCAAACAGCATCAGGCCCCAGTTGTGGGGCTTGGAGCATCACTGTCACAGGGGACGATCAAAAGAGGGTCCAGCCAAGTGCTGGGTGAGACCCCAGAGTGGCAGAGGTCCCAGGCACTCAGGATCCCTCCCAGCTCAGCTCAGCAGGTGCCCAGCACCGCGTCCCTTCCCTGGAGTGTGCGGGACCCGTGAAGCAAAGCCCCGAAGGTACAAAGTTCGCCAAACTTTATTGATACACTGCACAATCACAACCATCTCTTATTCTTGCCGAATTAGAAAAGGTTACAACTACAATGTAACATGCACAAATCTCAGGTAGTATAGCCACCCTTGGAATACAATGATCGACAGAAACTCAAGACCGGCCGTCACGGCCGTCAGCAGGAGAGACCCGAGAGCCACACTGCCCCTGCCCTGGGCACCCGGCCACCCCCCCGGGCATCCAAACACGGAGAGCAGTGGTCACAAATGGGTCTGCCACCCGGCAGAGCCGCGGCAGGGCCGGCCTCAGACAGCCAACACGTTCCTCACAATGGCACGTTACATGGCACGAGAAAGTCGAATGCCGTCCCGGCAGGGTACAGGGGAGCCCACCCGACCCAGGGACAAGGATGGGATGGGGGCAGCCCTGGCACCAGACCCGCCAGCCTCAGTGTGCGTCGTGGCATCTCGTGGCCGCCACTCTCTGATTTTCCACGGCCCCTGGCCCTGTGACTGCAGCATTTCTGCTGTGGGGACGGACAAATTTGGGGCCGACCAAGGAAAGGGCACGGGGTGACAGCGGGGGACTGTTGTGGGGCAGTGCAGACCAGTAAAGGCATCAGGGCAAGGTGTCTCCTGCACCCACGGTATTTTTGGAGCAGGCAGGTGGGGAAGGATGTGCGTGTTGCCGTGCTGGCTGAAGACAGTGCCATCCCCACGCAATAAACATGCCCAGGGTCATGGGATAGGACCCAGATCGCTGACAGTGCCACCTTTCTTGGATGCCAGTGGAGAAGCAGAGCAGCACCACAGGGACCGCAGGACGCGGACTCACCCAGTCAGTGCCGGATCCCCGTCCACCAGGTAAGCCAGCGCCTCAGGCCAGCACCAGGGCAGCCCCTGCCTGGGGCTAGGTGCTTTTTGTCAATCAGCCATGGTACATGTTGAACATCCAGGATAAGGGGCCAGAAGCACCCACTGAAATTTTGGAGCAAGTCCTGGGCAGCTCACTGAGAACAGGGATGAGGAGGGGCACGGCTGCGTAGAGGGCAGGGTGGTGGCCCATCATGGCCTCTGGCTCAGGGTTGTTTTTTCCATCTTGTGTGCTGAGGGCTGGCACACCAGCTTCCTTCCAGCCACAGAAAGCAGGTTTGGGCAGCAGCAGAGTTTGCATGGGGAAGACAGCATGTGCGTGGCTGTTGTTCTTAAGTCATCTCACTTATGGAGGAAGAAGGAAGGGACAAGGCACGGGGAGGTGCTGGGCAGGACAGGGGACACTCTGTGTGCTTGCTCAGTGCCTTGCTGTAGTCGAGTCTCCCTGTTGCAGCAATAGGGTCTGGTGCCACGTGTGACTTTTCAGGAGCAGGATGGGAGTGTCCATCCCCAGACTGTGGCCCTAAAGCATTCCTGGGTGGCCATGGAGTGACAAGAAGGCTCAGGGCTGCCACAATGTACCAGGCAAGGGGGTCCATGGTGCAGGAGGCTATCAGGAGCACAATTCCATATGTGGGGAGATGACATGGCTACTGCCACCATGGGTGGCAGCTCCCAGGGTGGCTGGAAGAAGCAGAGAGAGCAGAGTCTGGGTGTGTCTGTTTTGGTGTCGCAGGCAAGTTGCAGCAGGGAGCATTGGAGCCATCCTTGTCCCTGCTATGCCAGCACAGCAAATCAACAGAGCCCAGGCCTCCTCCACAGGGTCAGACACATCAGACTTTCCTCAGGCAGGGGCACGTGATGGGCATGAGACAAGGCAGAGTGAGGACATTGCAGATCAGGGCCCTCAGAGGGGCACAGATACAGATGGTCACGAGTGTCAGAGCCATAGCAAAAGCCAGTGTCAGCTGGTGTTTTGATCTGTTGTTGAGAGCCTCTGCCCCACGCTGGTGATGCTGTGCTTTTGATGTGCAGGTTGGAAAGTGCTTGGAAAACAGGCCCAGAGAAACCTCCCCAAAAAGTGCTGGCAGAGCATAAAGGTGAGAGCCATGGGGCAGCCCCTGCCGTCAGGGGGGCAGCAGCAGAGTGGGCAGGGATCTGGAGCAAGGAGTGAGGGCCTGGCTGTCCAATGCAGCAAGAAGGTTCTAGTCTCTAGGAGGGCTGGTACAGTCCCCAGGGCTCACATTCCTGTGAGAGCAGCCTCGTGTCCTCAGGAAAGTGAGGGGGTTTTAGTGGGAAGCACAGGGGTACGATGTCAACTGAAGAAAGAGTAGTGGGAAGTGCGTGACCCTGGAAGGACAGCTGGTTGTGTTAGGTGACCCTGTCCCAAAGGGCCAGAGAGCATCCTGTCAGGAGCAGAGGCAGGTGATGGATGGGGGGCTGGCCACATCGGGGTGCTTAGGGAGGAGCTTTGGCGATGAGAACTGACATTCAGGACCAAGAGGGCTGAAGGCAGAGCCGGGAGGCTTCAGCCTTGGGGTCTTTTTGGGCATAGGCGGCTTAGTGAGACGACGAGACGGACATCCCGGTGAAGGCTCTGGGTGGCACTCACCCCCACGGGCTCCGAGCCCCCAGCCTTGGAGATGAGGCAGCCACAGGGGACACCGTCCGTGCCGGGCCACATCCCCGGGGCGATGGTGGCGGGTGGCAGTCTGGTGGCACGTGGTGGGGTCTGTACAGCGTAACCGGCGGCGAGAACGATCCCGGCACGTGGGAGACGGGGCCATCCTCGGACGCTCGGCACGGCCGCCCGTCCTCCGGTGCATCGCCCGTCCGATGGAGAGGAGTCCCCGGGCGGCGCGGCGGCCGAGCCCGCGGCGCTCTGGAGGTGCGGCGAGGCCTCCCGGGACCCTCCGCTCCCTTATCAAAAGTCGAGGAGGAGGCGAGCAAGGAGGGTGGCCCAGAGGCAGAGGCCAGCAGCCACCCGGGACGCCGCATTGCCGCCGTCGTGCACCGCGCCGGGCCCTGCATGGGGGAGAGAAGAGAAACAAAAGGAGAGCATTAGGGCTATAAAGGGAACCCACCTCCCTGTTTTCCCTGCAGTTCCCCTTCACATCCCACCCCTAAGCTGACTGGAGTGTTGTGTTCCCTCTTGGAGGGGTGGTGGGTTCGTCCGTCATTTGGAGAGCACTGTCAGTGTTGAGGAGGAGGTGAGGAGGTTTGCACAGAGCTTGAGGAGCACTTAGGGGAGGCACAGTTCTTGTCTGAGGAGGAGGAGGAGCCCAGCCCCACCATGCTTGGAATTGCCCTCCTTGGAGAGTCCTGATGCAAACAACCATGTGAGAGCACTGGGAGCAGAGACCTTGGGGCTCCAGAGCAGCACAACTTGTGATTGGTAACAAGGGATCGTCAGCTCTGGAAATGGCATTGTCCAGATGTGGATTCTCAGGTATGCAGGAGCATTTTGGGGTCACTGGGGGGTTCTTGGCTGGCAGATCAGGCAAGGAGGAGGCTGGTCATCTGGGTACACCGCTGGAGTGGAGATTTGTTGCTTTTTTAAATCTCAGAGCTGTTATTTGGGCTGCAGGGCACACAGGGGGCCAGTGAGGATGGGATGAGGCAGCTGGGCAGAGTGAGGGAAGCAGAAGCAGCCACCACATGCTGCCACAGGGCCATGGGTCTGTCCACGCTCCCTATGGCCATGGAGAGGCATTTGGGGAAGTCACAGCTCTGAGTCCCAGTACTGGTGTTCTGAAAGGGAAGAAATAGAGAAACAAATGCTCAGCTGTCATAGCATCAAAACTCAGGGCATGGATGAAGTGTGAAGTTAATGAGATTCTTATGAATTTGTGGATATGCTCTCAGGCCTGCAGTCACCTGGAATGGGTTCACCATAGAATCCCAGAATGGTTTGTGTTGGAAGGGATCTTAAAAACCATCTTGTTCCGCCCACTGCCATGGGCTGGGACACCTTCCATTATCTCAGGTTGCTTCAAGTCCTGTCCAACCTGGCCTGGGACACTTCCAGGGATGGAGCAGCCCCAGCTTCTCTGGGCACCCTGTGCCAGGGCCTCACCACTCAAAGTGAATCTTTTTTCTCAGTATCTAATCTAAATTTATCCTCTTTCAGCTTAAATCCATTCCCCCTTGTCCATGCCCTTATCAAAAGTGCTTCCCCAGCTCTCCTGTAGCCCCTTCCAACCCAAATCATTCTGTGATTCTATGAAATCATATCTAGTTACAATAATTTTCTCAGGATGGTGTTATTCCTTGTCTTTTTATCTACTGATTTTTGCGAACATTTATCTTAATTCAGGAAGAGGCAAAGGAGAGTGTGAGATGTTAAATCCAAGCACTGCCAGAAGGTGAAGGAAATGATGGGAAGATTGAGTGATGAGCAAGAAGCTGTGTCATGCCCATGCTCAAACAAAATTGATTGTAAGAGCACATGATCATCCAAGAGGGGTAGAACTGCTATGCCATAATCAGACATTTCCTTGCTGAATAGACCTTGTGATATGAAAGTTGGAAGCCCACATTTATTAGGGGCAGGTAGAATGGAAAGGGCTTCTTAGCTTGGTTTCCCTCAGACCTGTTACTGCTCCCTCTTCTCTGGTTTTGACCCCTCAAACCAATGGCAGCAGCTCAGCACATCATCCAAAACCAGAAAAATAGTGAAGGTTTCTGCAGATTTAATACAAAATGTTGATTAGCCTTGAACTTTAATGTATTTACATCTGTCCAAACACTGCTAAATTGGTGCCTCTCTCTAGCATCTCTATAGATGTGGATTTTAATGTGTGACTAATTCTTATCACTATTTTCTAGTTCACAGTTCTGCACTGGTTATTGGCTTTGATTTAATGACACTTTTAGAAATTTCATAATCTATCCTAAAGCAATTGCATTGTGGTTGAGTTGGAGAGTTCCCAGATAGATAAGTCACCTAATACAGAGAGGAAATAAAACTGAAAATGCTGGGCCATTACTAGAAAAAGATATTTTCTCTAAAATTTATTCTTTATTCTTTTCTGTGGAAGAATGTATTCTGGTATCAGACAGCTTGGCCTTGTAAAGATAGTAAAGATACTCGATAGAAGAGACAAGAATAAAGATACAGGGACAAAATAAAGTGGTAATTAGATATGATCACAAAATCAGGGCAGATGGTTCATTTCATCACAGGCTGCCTGTGACTCCTGTGTGTTCTCTGAACTGTCACTCTCTATGGGAAAAGAGAGTGGGGACTGGGACAAGGAGAGACCTGAACTGAGGCTCCCTAACCCTGTCATCCCAGCAAATATTTTGGCTCTGCTTTGTTCAAACTCCAGTGCTTGAGCGTTGAGGTGTGAGTGCACCTGGACTCTGGCTGCCCCTACGCAGCTTATTTATTATTGCAGTTATTAATTATTGCTTGCTTTTACTTTTCTTCCTCTTGATTTATTTTGTCTCCACTTTTCTGGCTATTTCCTTCCTTCTCCATGAGGCAACCTTAGATTTTTTGAGACTTTGATTTGAGTACAGATGACAAGGTTGGGATTTGGTTTCTCTCCTCAGATCTTGAATACAAAGGTCAGAAGGAATCAGTGGGTCTGTGGTGAATGGGTTTTCTTAGCCTGTGTTGGAGGCACTCTCAACTCCAATGTGAGCCATGGGAATGGGACAAATGTCTACAGAGCTAAGGAATCCCTCCATATTCACAAAAAAAATAGCTCTTCCTTTCTTTTCCTGCCTTCTTTCTGTCCAGGACAGAAGTCCCATGCCTCCCACTTCACTTCCAATTTGTTGCAACGTTCACCCTTGTCCAGGTGAGATAGACACATGGAGATGGAAAATTTAGAATGTGTCTCTTGGTGCTTTTCACTTTCAGGAGAAATGGGAAAGGAATGTGCCCATGCTCAGGGTGCAGCTGGAACCATTCTTTCCTAGAGGGCTCAGGAAATGACAGCAGTTCCTCTCTGCTTCTCATGGTCTGTAACAGCAGCCAATAGGTGAAAGTCTGTCCAATTGTTCATGTCTGAGGACAGAAATAACTGAAGGAAGTCTGGGGAACCTGCTGGGGGGAAGCCTGTCCAGTGTCTGAGAACAAAGGCATCTAGAGTAAGTCCTGGCAACCTCCCCAGGATGAGATTTTTCCTGATATTTTCCCTCAGGTAACTGCATGGTCCTTCAAGCCTGTCCCTGCTCATTGAAGGGGGTTGAACTAAATGACCTTTAAAAGGTCCCTTCCAATTCAAATGATGATTCTAAGAAGATCCAACAGGGATGTTGTGACTGAACAGCTGCCCAGCACAGAGCAAGAAAGAAAAAGTGGTGGCTTCTTGCACACAAAAAGAAGACACAAGCTGAGCAAGATCTAAGGCTTGCCACAAACACTGACCCTGGAACAGTATGGTAATGTGAGCAGTGACTGTAGGTAAGCATTTTATAGCATAGTGCAAAATATGGATTATTTATAGCATCTAATGGTAAAGTCAGCAATTGGCTTTTCATGGAATAGTTAAGAGAAAACACAGAGTAAGTAACAAACACAGGAAGACAACTGCACATGTGAAATATAGGGACCAAGTGGAAATAGAAGTGTGAAAAAAACACATGTATGGTAGGTAGAGAAGATAATATGTGAAGGCAAAGTAACCCCACAGGATAACAGGGAATGTGCTGGGAAAAACCCTACAAAACAAAACAACTCAGTGAAGAAGAGGGAGTTGTCCTTCATCCCTTCACAAGAAGATGGAGAAGAAGAGAACACTGATAATACTGAGGAAAAAGAAGATATCCCACTTCAGCTCTGACTTCATCCACCAAGACATGAAGGAAGCTCTTCCCCCTCACCTCCAAAGCTGCCCTGGCACAACCTCTGTCTCCCCATAAAAGTGCTCCCCTTTAGGACTCACAGCTAATTTAGGCCAAGTTTATTAAAGACTAATTATTTACCTGTGTATTGATGATGGTTAAAGCCTAACTCTGGGTGATGTGTTATGTTAATGATTGTCTAATAAAGCCTGGCTTAAGGTTTCAAGTTGTGTTGGTGTCTTTGAGACATCTCACCAGATCTCAGCTGCAGAAGGTAAGGTTGGTATGGACAGAGGGACACAGACATGGAGCTGGAGAGCTTCACTCTGCTCCAGATCCTTGAGCTCTACATCTTCTCCCACCAACACTGAGTGTAGGAGGAGCTCATGTGCAGACAGGCCAAGAGGTGCAGGTGCTCACAGGACATGAGCAGGAGGGAATTTGGAGGCACAGCCAGGGCCAGTGAGCCTGTCATGAGCAACTCGTGGTGACAAGGGAACTCAAAGTCACCAAGCAAGCTGGGATGAGGGTGGGACTGACACGACACTGGCACCAGGGCAGGCAGGACACAGCAATGGCACACAGGGGTTCCTTGGTGTGAAATGGAACAGAAGGAGTCATGACAGGGACACAAACTCAAGTTCAAGCTCTGGTATCACTGCTGGAGTTGGTGACCTCAAATACTGGAACAAGAGAAATGGTTGAACTCAGGGGAGCCCAGCGTGGTCCCCAGAGATGGAATGTGACCTCAAATAGTCCCATGGTAATTGGCTGAACTCAAGTAACCCCAATGACCTATAGTAACCCCAAATATGAACTGGTTGACCTCAAGTAACCCCTCAGTGACCTGTAGTAACCCCAATGACCTGTAGTAACCCCGAATATGAACTGGTTGACCTCAAATAATGACCTAAAGTAACCTCAAAGTGCTCTGAAAGGAACAAGTTTGACCTCTAGTAACCCCAATGACCTATAGTAACCCCAATGACCTATAGTAACCCCAATGACCTATAGTAACCCCAAATATTAGCTAGTCGACCTCAAATAACCTCAAAGCATTCTGCTCAGAAGATGTTTGAACCTCTAGTAACCCATATCATCTACAGTAACTCCAGATGCTAATTGAGCGAGCCTAAGTAACCCAATGATCCAAAGTAACCATAAAATACTCTACAGAAAGTGAGTTTGTCCCAGTTAACCCCAAATGCTATTTAATTGATCAAATAACCCAAATTAACCCCAAGAATTGGGCCTTTCTAGCTCTCTTGGAGCCCCTTTAGGCACTGAAGGGACTCTAAAGTCTCCCCAGAGCCTTCTCTCTTTCAGGGGAACAGTCCCAGCTCTGCCAGCCTGGCTCCAGAGGACAGTTGCCATTTCCTGAGGGGTGTTTGGAGCAGAAGATGCTGAGGGGAGGATGGCTCAGCCCAGAGTCACGAGGCCCCCAGCACCAGTCACCTGATGGACACCTGCCCTGATCCCACCCAAGACATCCACACAGCATAATCCACTCAATTAACAGGAAAAAAAAAATCATTTTATTGTTGACCAGAGAGAATGGAAGCCTTTGTAATTCCCCACCCAACAGTGTTCTGTCCCCTCCACTGCTTCCAGCTGGGCTGGCTGTGGCACCATGGCACAGCAGCGTGTGACCACCAGTTCCTGAAGCAAAATAAAGCTGGGGATTGCAGCTCCCCAGACTCTTTGGCAGCAACTTTGGAGCTTACATATCTCAGGTTTTTTTTGTGGAGTATTAATAATGGCAGGTGGCAACTTGAAGAATGATGAAATGAGGTGTGAGCTGCTCCCTTGACCCGAAAAGCAGTGCTGGTGGCAGACACAAAAGAGCATTTGGACAGATTCACCTGCCCTTCGAAGTTCCTGTAATGCACAAAAATAGATGTGGGGTAATTACTTTTTCTTCTGTACAAAAGACTTGGTTCAGATTTATACTCCCTGAATACAGCCCTGCCTCCTTCTCCTCTCCTTACTAATTTCCACTCCTAATATCGCCTGGGTTTGTCAGATTACTGGTTTGTGTGCACAAATAAACACAGAAAATAACTGCAATCACAGACACTCCACAGCAATAGGTAAACAGGGCAAGGATGCTATTTCTTAGCCTTTTTTTTCTTTTTTTGCATATGTTTAGCATTGATTCTCTTTTTACAAAATTCAAATATTTGTAGTGAGGCTCTAGCACAGGTGCTCAGAGAAGCTGTGGCTGTCCCTGGATCCCTGAAAGTGTCCAAGGCCAGGCTGGACAGGGCTTGGAACACCCTGGAATAGTGGAAGGTGTCCCTGCCCACAGCAGGGGGTGGAACTGGATGAGTTTTAAGGTCCCTTCCAGCCCAAATCATTCTGTGATTCTACGACTTGTTTTAAGTGTTTTAAGTCAAGCAGTCTTTAAATATTGAATCAGAGCTCTTATTCTTAAAGACATAATTGCTTTCCCTTGCTTTTATGTATTTAGTCTGAAGCTGCTGATTCTTAAGAGAGTGCACAATAAAGCATGAAAAGATTTTATCTCTCCATAGAATAATTGGTTTAAATCACATCTAACACTTGGTATTTTAGCTTATATTCAGTTAACTCACCCAATCATCAATCACGGAGATTACATACTAGAAATGAGACCCTGAACATTGGAAAAATGCAGATGGCATCTTTTATAAAACATCTACATCTCTCTTTATTCCAATAGCTCTTCAATGGAAAGGTTTCATTTTCAAATGAAAGGTCCCAGAGCTCCCAGTTTGGAATGGGGGCTTGGGAAAATTCCCCATGGTGACTGAGGGACACGTTGCACTTGAAAGAGATGTAAAGATCTAAGTTTGGGTGATTTTTTCCCCCCCTATCTCCATATATAAATAGCAAGTACAAAATACAACGTGCTCATCAAAAAGTGAGTCCAGACAAGACATTTTTAAATAAAAGAATTAGCAGATTTCCAACCACTTGTGCTCCCCTCCCCTTTGGCAAAGGCTGGTTGAGACTGTCCAAGAAACACCACACACATACACAAATAGAAGCTCTCCACAGAGCCCATCTTTTCCACTCTCCCCTGTGTTTCCAAGAAGCTACAGTTTTGACTGACAAGCTGTTGAATTTCACAACATGTTCGCAAAATGAAAAAAAAAAAGCGCAATCCTTGAGGAGAGATGGAATCCCACCTGCTTAAATTCCTTTTTGAGCTCACTCCATGGCTTGCTCCTCACTGCTCCAGAGTGTTTCACTCAATACACACTTGAAAGATGGGGGAAAATAGAATGTGAATGTTTGCCTTTTTTCTCCATTAAAAGTTACAAAATTAAAATAGCTTTAGGTACCCTGAGAGTTCACACAGCAATATCCAAAGGATGTGCCAATATCCTTTCAAAGACAAATTTAAGCTTCAGTGTTGGAGCAGGTAAATACCCACATGAAAACAAATGGAACATTTTAAGTTTTCACTTTTCCTTCCTAAGATTTTTTCTTGCAGTCTCACTAGTAAATATTTTCCTAATCTTCTTTATATAAACCAAGAATTAGAGGAATATTAGTATTCCACTGAACAGACCATTACTAACAGGAGTTGCTACAAAGCAGGGAAAATTTAACTCAGCCACAGGGTTGGGTTCCTACCTCTCACTTCTTATGGATGATTTTTAATATTCCTGTTTTGCCATTTATGGAATCACCTCTAATGTACTTCAGCCTGCTGGACGTGTTTGGGGGATTAATTTATTAAAAGAAGGTGAAAATTTGTTTTCTCTGCATGTTGGCATCAATTAATAACCGGTGTGAGAGGATTGCTGTGTTGTCACGGGAGGAGTGTGTAAAGAGCAACACTAACTGCTGAGAGAAGGAAAAATGCCTGAAAACAGATGCTGTCAAATAAAAGATAACCACGAGATCACTTGGAACAAAACCAAAAATCCCCAATCCAGTCCTCTTCTGAGTAGAGGGAGTTACCTGCACTGCAACTTTTTCTTTAGTTTCAAGTAATGGAAAAAAGAGACTTAGCTGATGTTATTTTGTCTCACATTAGAGAAAGAGCAAGTGGAAGAGTGCCAGCAGGACAGGGAAACAGAAAACAAAATGGATATTGGGAAAACTGGATTGGAAACCTAATATGCTTATTTATGTACTAAACAGCATAAATATAATATTTACTATATAGTAATAGAATCATCAAGGTTAGAAGAGACCTTTAAGAGCATCAAATCCAACCATAATTCAGCACTGCCACTGTTCCTTATATATTCCTAAACCTTATATATAAAAAATATATATATAATATATATATAAAATACCTCATACACATTGTAAGTTGTATGTTGTACTATATAAAAACTAATAATGTACACTAGATATTCTATAATTTATATACTATGAGTATAATACATAATATATAATAAAGAACAATATGCCTATATATAATAATATATGTCAACAAGACACTATTATTAAATATAATATATGAATAATACTTGTTTTTATATCTATGTAATATATTTTTGTTATTGATATATTATTATTAATAATATATACTACATTATATTTGAATTCTATTACATTATATATAGTCTCTTATACTGTACTGCATTATACTGGATATTGGGAAAAATTGCTTCACCAAAAAGGTAAAAAACAAGTGAACAGACCAGAACAGTGGAGAGGGAACAAAACCCAGAGCTTTGACCCAAAGAGAAGAAATCAGGCCAGGGCAGAGGAGAACTGTTAGAATAGAAAGGCCTGGACCAGTCCCTACCCAAACACCACACACTGGCACTTATCAGACCCAAACACAACCCTGTAGAACACAACAGAACAGAGTGGAGCACGAAGCACCTGGATGGGTGAGCCAGCCCCACACCCGAAGCCAAAGATGCCCCTCCCACCACCCCAAATCACCAAGCACCCCCCAGGCCCCCACCACAGTGCAAAGCTTTGCTCCCACTGCCCACCCCGGTGCTGCCAAAGTCCAAGCTAGTGTGGAAACTCTTCTCCCTCCCAATATCTCCTTGAGCCTGCTACCTGACTTCCATCCTCTCCCTCCTGCTGGAGCCTGCTGGGGGAAGGCAGGCTCCTGCTGTCCACCCTTGGATCGTGACAGCCCTCCAGGTTTGTCACAATGCCACAGGTACACACCACCTTCCTCAATGACAGCTGTCCCTGATGACACCATTCCTCAAACACCTTCCTGCCCTGGCCACCTGAATCACCCAGGCTGATGTCACCCGTCCTGCTATTGCCAGTACAACGTGATCACTGCTGGCAGTCCTGCCAACAGCAAACAAGGGAAAAGCCCCACACCATGCACCCAGAGCGTGTTCTCACCTGTCCCAGGCTCCCTCCTCATCCCTGTGCTCCAGCAACACCAGGGCTCAGCTGACTGCTGGCCAACTGTGCAGTGCACCCAGTGTGGGGCTGATACAGATCTCATCCTCTGAGCATCCTCTGGCAGGAATTCTCTGCTCAGGGTTTGTGCTGTTTTCCACCTCGATGGACCAGGAACACCAAATACAGCCAGCTCTGCTCCACTGTTCCAGCACTGGCTGCCTGCCAGCCTCCTTCTCTTCATCCTCCTCCTCTTCATCCTCCTCCTCTTCATTGTGCTCTTCAAGCTCCTCTTCATCCTCCTCCTCCTTTCCAAATGCCTCCTCTTCACTCTCCTTCTCTTATTCCTCCTTGTCACCTCACCTTACTGCAAGAAGCCAGCACCTACCATAGAGGATGATGCTGGCGTTGGTGTTGCCCAGCTTGTTCATGGCCACACACGTGTAGTTGCCGTAGTCCTTCTCCGAGACGTTGAAGAAGGTCAGCGTGGACAGGCGGCCCTTGCTCTCGATCCGCACACCCTCCAGCCCGTTCGCTAACCTGCACAGAAACACGGATAGTGGTGCTGGGAGAACGGGGCTGGGGCTCCCCTCCCTGGGCATTCCTTTGCTTCCCACCAGCCAGCATCACTATGCACCCACATATTCCCCTACTGGATTTGCACAACTCAGTTTTGAAGACAAACTCTCCATCCCATAACCCAGCCTGACCTCTGTGTCCCACAGCCACCATTCCTGGGAGAAACAACTCTGGGATTTCCTCAGCCTTTAGCTGAGCACCCACCAAAATGAGTTGATCCCAGCCTTCTTCCACACGATTCTCTCAAGCACTGTCACCCCCCTCCACCTGTGGCTGTCCCCCCATCCTCCACTGCCTCTGCAGCCCCTCACCTGGTGTCCTCCTTGAACCACTGGAACTCTGCCACGGGGACGGCCGAAGCCTCGCACTGCAGGATGCCCTTCTGGCCCACCGAGGCGCCCGTGTTCTTGGCGTTGGAGATGTACGGCGGGTCTGTGGAGACATCGTGCTGTGTCACACTGGCCCACGTGCACCCACCCCCCGCCATTCCCCTGTGCCCTGCACTCACAGTTGACAGTAACTTTGACTTTCCTCACGTCCGGGACGGCCACGTCGTTGACGGCGCTGCATTCGTACTCCCCGGACTGCTCCCGAGTGATGCCTGTGATCTCCAGGTACTCGTCCTCACTCACAAAGGTCTGCCCTGGGGGATGTACTGAACGTGTGGCACCATCACTCATGGACACCAACATCAGGAACTTCCCTGTGCCCCTGCCCCAACACCCTCTGCCTGAGCATCTGGCATCCCCTTCACCCAGGAAGAACCTGACAAGCGCCCCCAGCCCCATCCCAGGCCACACCAAAATGTCAGCTCTCTGACTGTGAGTCACCACCCTGACTGTCTCTATGGGGACAACCATGCATCCCATACAGGCCAGGACGGCCCCTCCTCAGACCCAGGAGTTTCATCCACCGAGCAAGGGCTCACCTTTCCCAGAGAGGTGCCTCCACGTGACGGTGGGCTCCGGTCTCCCAAAGGCCAGGCACATGAGGGTCACGCTGCTGCCCTCGTTCACGGTGATGTCCGACGAGATGTTGACAATCTGGGGGGGCACTGTAAGACATAAAGGCCACCAAAGACACCATCAACACACCAGCTTGCCAGGTGCAGCCTTGAGACCTGTCCCATCGTGTGACACTGGTGCCCACTCCACTGCCCTGTCCACTCAGCAATGCCACGTCACCAAACCAGTACCTTGGACCGGAGCCAATCATGGTCTGGGGTGTGGAGGGGTCCACTCAGTGTGCCAGCCCCCCCACTCCATGGCCCAGACCCCGATAACCAGCTCTCGTTATGGCCTGCGACAAGGCTCATATTTTAGCATATTTATTAAAGCTGTTTAAATTACTGAGCGTCTGCTCCTTCAATACCAGCCGGGGTGATTTATATTACTCTATCCCCAGATACTCCATCTAATAAATAACTTGGCAATCTCCGTGCCCATAAATATCCCTGGCCATGGCAAAAAGCAATTAAAGCTCACTTGCCGATGCTGTTTCCTGGTGCTCTGGGCTGTCGGACACAACCCCCTAAAGGGTCTGCTCCCCAGGGAGTCAATAAGGCCATATTTAACAACCCTCCCCAAACGAAACGCCATGCCTACAGTGCCAGAAAGGATGCTCTGTGCCCCCTCCCCAAGCACACAACATGCTGAGAATCCAGGTCAAGTGGCATCAGGTGCCCAACCCTTGCACCCAGGGCTCTCCTGTAGCACTGGGATTCCAGGATAATCACCTGAAAACCACTGTGGCCAGCACTGGCACTGTCTGCAAGGGAAATTGGGGCTGTCTGGCTCTCCTTGCACCCCAAGGGAGCTCTCCTCACACCCCCAGCGAGGTTCTCCTCTCTCCTGGTGCAGGAGAGGCAGCACTGCAGGATGAGCCATGGCAAAGATGCGGCGCGGGCTCTGCAGCCCTATGGGCTCTGCAAAGCAGTAAATTTCCCAGCAACTTGACACATTAATATAGAAGTACAGTCTGTTATAGCAGAGGGAGATTGTCTGAGTCCTTCAGGGGAAAGCAGCAATCCAAAAATGAAAAGTGTGTGCCGGCAACTGCTGGAAAACGTAGTTAACGCTCGGAGCAGAACCAGCCAACTCCGGCAGTGCAGCCACAATGAGCTCCAGAAGGCTGCAAATGGCCCTTCCTCACTCTGACAAGATGACACTTATCCATAATACCAGCATCCTTGCACCTCTCCCCTCCAGTAACAGCACCTCAAACTGGTACCAGGAACATCTGAAAACTACAAGAACATCCAGGACAAGGCTTCCCACAACCGGGCATTTCTCATCTGCTCCTGAGCCTGCAAACCAGCCCTCCTTGTGAGCAATTTTTGTCCGAGATGACATCACCATCCTTAGTTGTGGATGCTGAGACCTTGGGATGCCACCCCTGCTCCAGATGGCAGCCTGTCTCTTCCTTGTGTGCTTTTGCCTGCAGATGCTGGACTAGAGTGATGGTGTGTGATGCAGAGCATCAGCAAAATCACAGTTATTGTTCTATCTTCGCCCTCCCAGCCGCCTCCAGTTCAAGGCTGAGATCCTTTTCCTGTTCCCTGAGTCCCAAACCACAAGTACAAAATGACATGCAGAAACTGGTGCTCTGGGCACAGATGTGAGCCTGTCCCCCTCCTGGGCACAGAAATACTTTCATTCCTGTGGAAAAAATTACCACTACCCATAACCACTACAGTCCCTGTGCTCTCATTTGGAAAACCCCAAGCCACACAAACCCACACACGTCAGCCTGAAAGCCCCTCCCTTAGCAAAGGATGCTGACACAGACATGCCAGCAGGTCTCACAGTGGGGAAGTGCATTTCCTGAACATCCAGACACCAGGGGAAGCACGGCCGTGCTTCCACTGCTGCCCTAATCCAATCAGGAATGCCCCTGTGAGCTGGCAGGGACATGCAGTGGAGGGACAACCCTTGGACAGCACGGGGACCCCACTGGGCAGTTCGATAGCCGTGAGTGCGATCGTTACCTATGAAGTTACCAGGACTTGGAGAAGGACATCGAAGGACCTTGATTACATTTTTATAGATCCCACTGACTGTGCTGTCAAGGATAGTGTCTCAAGGACACACTGGTTTTCCACAGGAGGATTTAATCCTATGGGAGGAGCGGGTAGAAACTGAGGCCACTTAGGGATACAGGCAGGGTGAGTTTGGTGGCAAACATGACTGTGTGTATAAAACTAACCTGCAGCCACACCCTGTCAATACCCTGAGATGGGCATGGCCAAGGTATGACTGCCCTGATAAGCACATCCCATTAAAGCTGCCTTGTGTCAAGGTGGTGACAGCTTGGGATGAGTGCTGGGCATGAAGTCCAAAGGCTCTCCCATGCCCCAGAGATCCCTCTTGGTCCAGGTCAGGCAGCCCTGCTAATGCCTTGCAGTCCTCCAGCATGATGGTGGGTGCTGTTCCTAGTTTTACCTGCTGACAGCATCCTTTCCCTGAATTACCTTTGTTTCTCTACATTTCCCTCCCTCTGCCCTACACAGCTGCAGCGAGAAAAATAGGACAGAACACCATCTCTATCCACTTTTATCCATAGTCCTTCCTCACAGAAGTCTACAACTACAAGCAAATTGAATAAAGAATAAATCCTGAGGAAGCAACCAGCAGCACAGTCTCACCGGAGCAACGAGCGGCACTCTGAGGGTTTCGTCAGCCCTGCATAATATTAATCACAGAGAAGTTAATGCATAAGGTTTGGTAAGCCAAAAAATACATTTGCACTGTAATTTCTTGTTTGTTCGCAAAGCCGGCGAGAGAAATTGAATGTGAAAGCGATGCCACTAAATTCAATAACAATAAGCCTGTGATTTATCTCCTTCCTTTACCACTCGAGACCTGCACCACCTGATGCGCCAATCCACGCTCTCCGTGGGGAGTGTGCCAGTGTCTGCCACCATCCCTGGGGACTGTGAGGTGCCATCCCTCCCCTCACCTCCCAGACTGGGCCCTGTGGGGCTGGCCATGGGATCACACCCTTGGTGACGCTGCCATGGCCTGTGATGCTCCGTGCAATACTCGGGATATCTGTGGGACTCCCCTCAATATGTTCCATCCTGCCATCTGCTCTGGGCACCCAGGATGGCTTTGCACTTATTGTCCCATCTGGGGGCAAAAGCAATGGGAAAGCTCAGACCTGGTACTAGAAACCTGTGGAGGGAGCAGAAACCATATCTGAAAAAAAGGCAATATCCCAAGAGAGGCCTTCATAAAAAATGATACCTTAGATAAGAAATTGCTTACTTAGAGTGACTAATACCAAGAAGCATCTCACCCCTCTGTAGACTCCTGTGTTATCTTTCTGTAATTCTAGTAGTCCATTTTTCTCTTAGATAAATGGTTCGTTTTTCCTAAAGTCTTTTGTAGATTGGTTAGTTATAGAATTTCTTAGTTAATTGGTTCAAATACAAAACCCTTAAAACCCATAAAAGTCCCTTTAGAACCCAACCCATTAGATTTGCTGGACAGGACCTCTTTCGTAGAAGAAATAAAGACTCTATGGAATCTCCTCAATGGCATCTCTCGGTCTCTTTCTCTGCAAGCCTGATTTCACAAAAGAGCCAAAAGCCTGACTCCAGGCATGACTTGCACGTCTACCTTGTTGCCGAGAACTGCCTGGGACTCCAGGAGAAGCTGTCCCTTGCGGGATAACTGACTCTGGCTCGAGCAGGCAGTTTTGGGGTCCAACAAACTCCCTCCACCAGCAAAAGACACCCAAGTGTGAGGAGGTATGGTCAGCACTGGCAGGGACGCCTCTTCCCTGCTAAACCACGCAGGAAAAAACAGCACCTCGGGAATGGCTGCGTGATCAGTGGCTGCACATGACGCTGACGCACACGGCCGTGTGCAGGCTGACTCATCCCCGGCCGCTCCGGAGCGCCCATCCCTGCCAGAGCCACTCGCCGCCGTGGCCCTGCATTATTTTTAGCTACCAGATCATTACTGCTGCATGCCTCAGAGCGGAGAGCCTGCATGAGCACAGTGGCTGACACATGCAACTGATGTCCCTCCTCCACATCATTAGCTCTTAATCCATTAAAAGAGATCTTTTCCTACACTGCTGGTAAGGGGAGATGACAGATGGGTAACTATGGGCTCTTCAAACCACCAGGCAACAGCCACTTGTCCACCTCTACTTGGGGGACAGGTCCTCGTAGGGACAGCAGAGAGGGACATCTCATCTTCAGAGCTCTGAAGCCTCCATGGACACTGTCACACCTTCTGCCCTGGCACCTCACTTTCCATTCCCTCTCACACATCTCCTATTTTGAGAGATGCAGCGTTCATGCAGCTGCCTCACCTCTCCAGCTGCAGTGTCCAGCTGTGCCCTGTGACAGGTGATGCTGTCACCAGCAGGAAGAGGGACTGTCACCCTAGCAGGGGTCGGATGCCTGCAGGAGATGACACTGCCTCTCTTCCCAGCACCCAGCTGCCTATAGCCCCAGGCATCTCCAGCTCTGCACAAGCCTCCCCGGCACAGGCAGGATGGGGCTGTCAGAGGTGTCACTGTGCAAGGTCTCATTAGCGTACAGAAAGTCAGCACAAAGGAGGCAAATATGCTGAAAGCTCACATTTTGCCTGTGCTTTCCATCTCCTTCACTGATGAGAAGCACAGCAGGAGCCTCCTCCAGTCCCTTGTATCTGCTGAAGGCACCAGCAATATGAGACCTTCCCTAGAACAGCTCCTCTTTGGGGCTGAGGCCCTTAAGTGTGGCACCTGAGAGCCAGCTCCTGGCTGGCAGATGGAAATTGATGTTTTCCCTCTCTCCAACTCGTTGCTTTCGGGGTACAGGAAACCTGACACACAGAATAACCCTGAGCAAATGCACCTCAATGCTCCCATGGGGGAAGTGACTGGGGCAGAACTTGACATTGAGAATTTTAACAACATGCTGCTTCTCGGCAGATGATGATCGTCTCTGATCGAACTGTTCTAGTGACAGCCCAGTCTGAGATGCTCATCTGAGCTGATTTCATTGAGATAATGGATTAAGCACTTGTAAAAGCTCCAGTTTGGTCAACAAAATGATTTTCGTTGTTCAAATTTCCCTGCTAAGCGAGCTGCGTGTCATGGCCTCACTTTTTCTACAGGCACTCCATTTTGGTAATATCTTCCTTTTCCCTTTGCTTGAGGTCTTCAACACCCTCTTTACACAACCTTCCCCGAGTAAAACACTCTCTGTGGGATCCTTTTACAGGAAGGAACACGGCAAAAATGAAATACAGGCACTGAGCACCCTTTGCCAGGCGGAGTCGCCCGACTGCTCGCAGTGCATCCTTTTTCTCCAAGTTTTCATGTTGAGACAGGGAAAGCAATAAAACCGAAACTCACAGTGTTATACCTACTGTGTAACCACCTGTCAGTAAATTTATGAACAATTAGGAAGTGAGAGTGCTTCCCAGGGAGCTATTTGTGCGCGAGCTAAAACGTTCTTTCTGTTCGGAAATATAATGGGGAAACAACTTCACCAGTTCTCCCTCCTCTTCCCCAGTTTTGTTTTTTTGCAGTAATTAATCATCTGTTGCTGCTGGTCCCTGTGGCACATCCTGGTGGCTCCTTTTCACCAGTTTCAGGCAGCTTTAGACTGGGAGCCCAAGGATGAGCCCCATCCTGGTCCCTTTCCTGTTCTCCCATCTGGATTTTGGGTTAGCACGTCATGGCAGGCACTTTAGGGACAGTGCTGTTCCCATCTTGGCAGTGCGTGCTGTTTTCTGCCTGCCAGTCTGACTCTTCTCCTTCCAGACCTTCTCCCTCTCCCTGCCCTCACTCCTTCATTACTCTTTCATTTTTCCCCTTTGCTGCCTCCTGCCCTTTTGATGCTCTGGTGTTTTTCTGTGTATGTACGTTTCCTTCTCTTTTTCCTTTGTTCTAGGGTCTCTGGGCTTTTCTTCTCATCCTTTGTTTTTTGGCTTTTTTTCCCCCCCTTTTAGTTGCTTCCTTCTTCAAGCTTTGCTATTCCTTCCAGATTTTCTCTGAGCTGCTTTGTCTTTGAATTCACTGCCACATTGCCCCTGTATCACCTTCATTTGGCCATTTGCACTGTCTTGCCCATCCTCTGCTTCTTCAGGGAGGAAGGAATGCTGACACAGGGGTCTGGCTGCAATTTTCCATCCAGTCTTTTCTCTTTGGAGAAAAATATCTTGATGGAGGGGGGGGCTTGGTGGGGGGGAGGGGGAGGTGGCCCTCTGAGAGCCTTAAGGAGCCAGTTGTTACCCCAAGAGAAAAACAAAAGCTTCAGTTTGGTTTTGAAACACTCACAGAGGAGCTACATCTGCACTGGTGCTGCTTTGAGAGGTGGCAAGTGAGGCACAGGACCAGCTCCAGGAGAGCATCCCTAGGTGCATTTGGGTAACACACCACACAACCACACCCTGTAAATGAAGGCCATGGCCCTTCAAAACCTGTCCTGGTTCCCAGGGCGAGGAAAGCAGCAAACACCAAGATGGAAAATGAATTGTGACAACCAGAAACAAGAGAAACAATGCCAGCAGCTGGGAGAGGCTTCAGTATGGTGAGTAGGGTTAAGGCAGTACAGGGAAGGGGTCTCTGAGGACATCTGAGAAATACCAATGACCACTGTTAGATAGGGATGGCCAGTACCAACATTCACCACCAAAATCTCCACCAGAAGGGATCCCAAGCTCACAGCCTCCACTAAAACATGACTTTGAGCTCCACATTTTGGACTGAAGTACACCCTGAAGCAGCCCAAGCCAAGAAGGCAGGGCTGTGTCCTGCCTATGGAATATCACACTCCTCCCACCAAAAACCATCCTGCAGCATGATTCCTTTAAGGTCTCCCGGCTCCTCCTTGCAAGCCTGCACCTCCCAGGAGCTCTCTCCCTTCCCCTTTTTGAGAGGTGGCCTTTGGAGTGCTCACCCCAAAGGCAGGAGGGCTCACCAAGGTCCACCCCACTTCAGTTCCACTCCAGCCTTTACAACAAGAGGAGGACGGGGTGGCTCATTTTCTACTTATATGAGCAAATGCCTCTTCTCTCTGCATCCCAAACTCTCCCCAGACACACCAGCATGCCATGAGCACCACGTATGTCTCTGAAAGCATCCATCCCTTCATCACGAGGCAGCTCCTGACAAAAAGAGGAAAAGGGAGGCAAAAAAAACCGCTCTGGCTTCCTGCCATCTACGCTCTTATAAACCCTGTTAACGGCTGTTGCAATGAACCAATGCAAGAGACATATTAATAGTGCTACTAAGAGACACATTTACTGTTGACGGCGATTCCCTGGCAGATTTATCGCTGGGTTGCTGGGAGGGAAGGCTGGGCCCCTCAGTAGCACAATTAAAACCCAATTCAACATGGGCACAAAGAATCAATACTCTCTCCGGCCAACTTATAGTTTTGCAAAATACAAATAGAAATTAATTGACCTAAATATAGTTGCTAACTGGTCATTACTCTTTGTTTGCCGTCCTGCTGGCACAGTGAGGGCAACAAACAGAGGACAGACTTAAACCTCAATTTTGAGGCCAGAAACAGGGCTTTGCTCCCATCCCTGTAAAGTGTGTGCTCTGCTTGCAGTAACAGCCAGGACCAAATCCATCTTTGGAAAATCACTCCTTTCCTCTCAGTGCTGAGCAAAGGACTGTGTGTTTTCCACCCTCACAGAAAGCACAATTTAGCCACCAAGGAACTGCAGTGGAGCTGTATGATACAATGGCTTGGGTTAGAAGTGACCTTAAAGATCATTTCATTCCACCCCCCTGCCATGGGCAGGGACACCTTCCACTAGACCAGGTTACCCCAAACCCTGCCCAGCCTGACCTTGGACACTTCCAGGGATGGGGCAGCCACAGCTTCTCTGGGAAACCTGTGCCAGGGCCTCACCACCCTCACAGGAGGGAATTTCTTCTTTCAGTCTGAACCCATTATTCCTCTTAACTACAATTCCTGATGAAGAGTCTCTCTCGACTTCCTTGTAGGCTCCTTCAGATACTGGATGGCTGCTATGGCATCTCCATACAAATGTCTCTTCCTCAGACTGGGAATAGAGCACAGGAGGATTTGCCTCTCTCTCACCACCATCAAAGGCACCTACAGATGGATTTTCTCAGCTGGGCAAACCGTGTGGTTTGAGCTTAACATGTTAAAAGGGAAGTACAGACACTGCTCAGCATGGACCACTTGACCTGTGCCTGCACCCCCAGTTCCTCTCATGCATCCCTCCAGCAGTGCAGAAGTGACACTGCTGAGAACCACAGTCATCGCTGCTTGGGAGCAATTCAGCAAGACTTGCTCAGACCAGGAAAAAAAAAAACTTCCCCCAGCACGGTTAGGAATGCCTCACCACAAGACCATCGCTCTGGGTCTCACCTTCACTGCCCAGGCCTGGCAAGTGCCTGCATCACCCTGAAAAAGGGGTGAAGGCAGCGGGTGCTGAGCATCACAGCCAGTTCACCTGATTTCATGAGGTGCAGAGCACTCAGATACTTCAGCGGTGTTGACTGGATGGATTAGCACGATTAGAGAGCAGACAGGATAAACAGATTAAACCTCACAGATGGACAGCTCGCACACAACTCAAAAAGGAGGAGAGGGACAGCTCTGAACAAGAGGATGGAGAGATGCTTCCAGTGGATTTCTACTCCCCTCCTCCCGAGGTGAGCACTCCCCTTCTTCACCACAGCCTGGTGCACACAATCCAGGGCTTCCCAACACTCTCCCACAACCACCAGGCAGGAAAACCTGTTGGATAGGTGACCACAATCAACCCCTGCCTCTAGCCAATGAGAAGGGTACATAAATACATACATAACACTGTTGGGGGCTTCTCAGAGACGTATCGAGGTTGAGAAAGTTTTCAGATTTGCTCATTGCAAAATCAATACCCATCAGCTGTTTGAAATTAAAGGAAAGATTAGGTCCTGGTTTTATACACGCTTTATTGTATTCCGAGAGCTTTCTACTCAGCCAAATAAATCTTCTTTAAGAGGATTAGGAAACTTTCATTATCTTTATCTAACCTGAACTAACACTAACTCTGAAAAATTAATCTAGAGACCGGACAAAAGCCAGTAGCTGGTGCAAAGCCACAAGAATCTAGAGGCAGCATCCATTGGAGTGTTACTGGCCCCTCTGATCTGTCAGCACCTGGATCCCCCCATCAGAACAACCTCAGGATACTGCTTTGCAGCCCAACAGCATCTGTATATTAATACCGATATATTAATAATTAATTGTATATTAATACAATTGCCTATGAAGCCCTGTGCCAGGAGTCCTTCATGGCCCCATAGTGACTTCAACCTCTCTCCCAAAGCCATGGAGCCTTGTGCTGTTGGGATCTGCTCCTCTGTGCCTGGCAGCACATTGCTTTTGGCTCTCCTGAAGCATCTTTGAATGTGTGCTTGGGCACCTTACTAATGAATCCCTCTTGGAGCAAGCTGAGCAACATGGTTCCAAGCACTGGAGACAGGTCAAATTCACAGCAGGGGATAGGCAAAGGGGGAATATAGAAGAGCTCAGCAGCCACACTGCCAGTTCTCAGGTGTCCTCTGCCCCATGTCACGACTGTACAACACAGCAAGCTGAGACAATGCAAGTTCATCTCCTCCCTGGCACGGTGTCCACACCACCGTTCCCATGCCATGCAATCTCTGAAGCAATTAATGCCAGCTCCAACTCCACTACCAAGAGGGCCTCCAAACCCTTCCCAAGTCCAGGCAGCCTTCCAGATCAAACCATCCAGCAACAGCATGAGGCACGTTCAGACCTACCTTGCACGATGAGATGGACACGTGAAGTCTTGGGGTGATTGTCTGTCTGTACAGAGCAGGTGTAAGGGCCCTCATCATAAATGTCCACGTTGTGTATCTTGATGCTGTACTGGGTCTTGGTGTTGGACAGGATGACCACACGGTTGTCTATAGACCACTTGTCATTGCCGGCATACAGGATGGTGCTGCGGTTCAGCCACGCTACCCGCGTGACCCGGTCATCCACAGTACACCTGCAGGGGACACACAGAGGGTCACACACCTGGAACAGGACACACACAGAGCATCCCGGGTCCCAAAAAGGGATGGGAGCAGGATGGGAGTGTGGCTCCCCAGCTCCTCATGCTGTGGCTGTGCTCCCTATTTCCACATCCCCCCATCATGTGAGATTTCACATAAACTGTGGCTTCGCCAGAAATAAAACCTCCCTTTTTCTTTTACACACAACTAGGGAACCACAGACAAAACTCCCATTGTTTGACCTCTGCAAGCCAGGCAAACCATCTCTATCCCCCTTCTCTCACACATCCACAGCCCCCCTTGCCTTCGCTGTGCACTGAGAATTCCAGATGAAGCTGTAAAATGTGCTGACAGTTCAGCTTGTCGGCATGGCCCTCGAGCCATCCCCAGGGTGATAAACACCCCCACTGCTGGGGACAGGGGCCACAGCACATGCACAGAGAGAGAAGAAGAAGAGAAACAGCCGGAGACAGCCAAGCCAGCACACAGGGAAGGGAAGGGAACATTTGGATAAGCAGCTGTAAATCCTACAAGTGCCTTGAAAACACAACACGGTCGTTTCCATTATTTATTTCCTGCCTGGCTCCCACCCTCCCCGCTCAGAGACGTGCAGGAGCTCGGCAGCTCTGGTCCACAGCACTGAGTTACACTTGGCAAAGAATGGGATGGGGGGGAAGGGAATTAAAATGTTCCTGGAAAACATGGCTTTTTCGTGCTCTTCGATAGATTCTTCTCCATCTATTTACTTCTGGCCACCTCTGCTGCCACCATGGTATCTGCAGCAAAAGCTCTGAGCGTTTGGTTAAATTAAGAGCCCAGCATCTCCTGGGAGCTTCACCTTGGCCACCTGAGGACCAGGCTAGGGAAGCCTTCTCTTGGCATAAAAAAAAAAACAACGGGAAAATCAAGCTAGACGTGAGCTAGTGCTGCAGTGACAGAGCTGCTGCGGCTTTGTGCAGCCAAGATCATAGGAAAAGGCACCTACAGTCAATCAAGAAACTCGTGCAAGTCCCTCTCCACATGCCTGTAAATTCAGAGAGGGGCTGGGAGGCTGTTCCTGTCCTCATCCCCACTGCAGTGCCTCTCCTGCCCAGGCTCCAGGGGTGTTATATACCTCCCTTGCTGAGATTGCAGAGCGTCACCTCGATCGAGATTATTAATCGGGCGCAGGGAAGGGGCGATACTTGGCATGTTTGAGGGTCCCCTCGGGGTGCTCGGTTCAGAGGAACGAGCCATATATTCTGCTGCAAACAAGTAATTTTCCCCTTGCAGGAGCTGTACGTCTCTGCCAGCCACATCACGTAGGGATGCCCGGAAAGACGGATGGCCCTCCACGCCAGCCACGGCACCGCCGGCACGAGGGGAGCCTGCCTGGTGTCAGACATGCCCTGGCACCAGCTCGGCTCTGCCAGACCATGGCAGACGGCATTGTCCTTGTCGGGAAGCCGAGCCCTCTCTTCCTTCAAATTAACTGGGGGAGAGCTAAGCACAGCCAAGTTAAGTTCGGCCCTGGGGGATTCCAGTCTAGTGGACTATTACTGCTGTCTCACTTCATTATAATGAATAATAAAGAGATACTTACACACGGCTTCTGTAAATTATTCATTGCGTGCACTGAAAAATCAGGGCAGCAATATGTAAAACAGACAACTTGCATGTCTGCGCTCATATAAATATCCAGACTACAGCCCTGCGAGGTACTCTCGGGTCCCCTCATTAGGGGTGAAGCACAAGGACTCGGGTTTGAAGTGACAGGGATGAGACGCTCGTGCTGGCACTGAGTGCGTTCGACTGCTGCTGGCCAGCTTTGGCTGGTGAATATGGGATGTGCTTCCCGAGGAGATCTGGGGCCAGGCCAGGACACCTGAGAAGTGGGGTGGCTCATTCTGCATTTACAGCTCACATTTACATCTCAAAAGTTGCACTTGCACAAGCACCCAGGGCAAAGACAGCATCACCCTCCTTTGTCTGTGGTGCTGGCGACTGGTACTGCCCTCAAAACCACTTGGAACGAGCAGGCAGCAGCAACTTGGAGACCTCTGTAACAAACCCGTGCCAAGAGCAAGGAGGCAGAGGCTCCTCCTTCCCATCCCTCCAGCCCACTCCTGAGTCACTGCCACTCAATAGCTAATTTAGGACCAAGTCCCTTTGGCTTTGTGCAGCATCATGCTCCTCTCCACAGGAGTCCAGACTGTCCCCTGCAGCTACAGACAACCAGACAAACCAGCCTCCTTAAAAAAAACAGCCCTCCTGCGCCATCTGGGAATGTGTCAGAACCACCACCAGCAGAAAAGCCCCATCCATCAGCTGGTACAGAGCACACGGCAATCCTGGAGGCACCTTCTCAGCTGACCCCGCCTTCCCACCGCCAGTTTTCATGCCCAGGCAATTGGCACTACAAAGAGAATACCGACGGATACCCTGGCACTAGAAACACCTCATCAGCTTCTTTACCTGTCTGGGAAAGTGATCTCCATTAGCTGCTAAGCTGATGGCACTCAGTTGTCTGCTGAGCCGTCTTTGTTCCCCATTTCCAATTGACCAGGATTATGATAATGTCTCCAGTAAGCAAACAGGTAAAGAGACTTCTGCAAAGTGTTTAGATAAAGCAGACAAGCTCTGACAAAGCTGGATAATAAAGCAGGCCAGGAGGTTTTCCCTTGAAGGGATCTAATTAAAACCAAAGACAAACCCCCATTAACAGTTTCCTGAAGGCACTGTATCCATCTCCAGAAACTGCCTTACCAGTCCAGAAGGGACAAAAGACAATAAAGCGTCTGTCACATGGGAGGGAAATAAACTTATCCTGGCTCTGCAGTTCACCTGCAGAAAGCCCATCAGCAAGGCAGGGGGAATATCTCAGGAATTGTATCATCAGCCCCCAGCATACGCTGCATCCCAGCTCCCCCACATCCCTGCTTTGTGCAACGTGACCTGTCCCATCCACTCCTCTGTCTCTGAATCCCACTTACACCCTCCCTGCCTTTGAGCAGAGACTTTTCACCATCTGTAACCCTTCAGCTGCCTCCAACCACTGCTGCTCTCCTCCAGAGTGGCTGGGGAGCGTTGGTGCCGGGCTTTGCAGGAGCTCTGGCCCCCACAGTGTTCACAATGATACATGTGGGCTCTCTAAAGCTTCATTTCCTGAGACCCATACTGATCCCGTGACTCTGCGGGAGGATGAGAGCTGCTGTAGGGATCCCAGAGCTCCACCAGAGACGAGGGCGATGAACCTGAACGCAGCAGCGTGAGAAGATGCATGAGGGTGGGAGCTGGGGGCACTGGCACTGTGCTGCTTCCCCTCTAATTGCCCCCATTCCTCATTCTTAAATGCTAATTTTGAAGTTTGCCGTGGAATTATTTCACTTACTGTCAACAATACAGATAGCTCCACTGACATGCTCTTTGTGTTCGGTGGCACACAGTGCCTGTCCCCCTCCTCCTGCACCTATTAGGAGAGACCCCACATGGCTCCCACAGCAGGCTCCTTCCCAGCCCCATCAATGACACTGACAGTGCCTCTTTTACATGTGGGTTGAGCCGTAACACCCTCCACCTTCATCCCCTGCCTTCTCTGGCCACGTCACAGACCTTTCCTGCACTGCTGACTCAGCTGAGCATGAGGGAGAAGCCTGGGGCTGCCCTCAACACCTCCACCATGGTGAGGGAAATACTGTGTTCAGAGTCAGCACAAGTTTTCTGCCATTAATTTGGAGGGATAAACAGCACACAGAGTTGGAAGCATACAGGAAAAACTTTCTCCATGGATGCCAAATATTCTGAGGAATGGGATGCATGCATGGAGTCCCAAAACGTTGACGCACATCTTAAGAAATCCAGGGGACATGTCCGTACCTGAAAAGCCAAGACCACCTGTCCGTGCCAAAAGGCTGGGGGGATGGATCAACCCAAATTTGTTGCCCAAACCTGTTTGGGCACATGATGAGATTTTTGGGGTTGTCTAGTGAAGAGCCAGGACACGGATTTGATGATCCTTGTGTGTCTCTTCCAGCCAAAGATATTTGATGATTTTAGGATTCAAATCTCTCCTGTTTCCTTGTTCAAACCAACAATGCTCTACTTTTAAACTCCTCTATGGCCCTTCAACCCCAAACTGCTTCTCTCTCCTGTAGGTAACGTGTCTCGTCAGGATGACAAATGGAGATGCCAAAACCAGTTGCAAACTTGCCAGCTGACCCAGTTTTCAGCGGCTAAAATAGCTCACCCAGATCGGGAGTGAAGCCCCTCGACAGCAACCAGGTGATGCTTCACCTAGGGAAGCCTCCAACCAAAAATATCTGTCACAGGGGCAGAACAAACACCCTTGTCTTTGAGAAGAAATTGTTAATTACATTTGCCAGAGACCCCTAATGGGATTTCTCCTGCACTTCCAATATTCAACCCAGTTACACAGTTAAGGGGCACCGGATGTTTTTTATCCTGGGCGGCTGGAGCAAAGGCAGAGGAGATTTATTTGTAATCATCGGAAATAAACACATTTCCTCAGAAGTAAACACAAAAGAACAGAACCTGGCTGTGCTCCCACTTCGTTCAAGATGCAAATGAGAAGCAGGCCATCAAAACACAGCGGCTCCTCTAATCCTCACCCAACAATGCAACTCAGCCACATTATCTGCAGGGACAATGGCATCTGTGCCATGTGACTGCAGGTCTGACACGGCAGCTCCTGAGGGCAGGACTGCGCCTCCTGAGCTTCCTTCACTGCCTTCCATGCTGTAAATTCTGGGGTGAAGGGCACGAGGCACTTTGTCTTTCATCATGGTCCTGCCCACTGGCACTTTGTCTCTGGTGTGTGAGGCACACACAGTGTCCCTTCTCCTCTCTCTTCCTCATTCATCCATGGCTGGATGTGGAGTGCACAGCCCTATGCCATCCCCACATCACCCCAGCACCCCGAGGACAGAGGGCACACGGGATGCACCACATGGCTTCACCCAGCACTACCACTTCCCATCCAGCCTTCAACAATCAC